CGGAACCGGAGCGGAGGGCCCAGCCATGCGCCCCCCGGCCGCGCTGCTGCCGGCTCTGTGCGCCCTGGCAGGTGAGGGGCGCCTGGGGGGTCCCGGGGGGGCCCGGGGGGCCCGGGGAGGGTCCCGGAGGTTGGGGGGGGGTGACAAGGGGAAGCGGAAAGGGGGCCCGCGAGCGGATGCGGTTGTGTCGCAGCGCCTGTGTGTCACCGTCACCGGGCGGGTGTCACGGGCTGGGTGACACGTGGGGGTTGAGGGGACCCGCGGGGCGGGATCGGGCCATCCCGGACCATCCCAGGCCGTCCAAGACCATTCTAAGCCATCCCAGACTATCCCAGGCCATTCCAAGCCATCCTAGACTATTCCGAGCCCTCCAGACCATCCCGGGCTATCCCGGTCCACGGCATCCTGAGCCATCCCAGACCATCTCGGGTTGTGCCGCACACCGCAGGACGTGCCCGGACACCCTTCCCATCCCAGGACATGTCCCCATCCCGGGACATTCCCGGACACCCATCCCATCCCAGGACACGTCCCCATCCCGGGACATTCCCGGACACCCATCCCATCCCAGGACACGTCCCCATCCCGGGACATGCCCTGCCAGGCTGGAACATGCCCAGCCATTCCAGACACTTCCCCCTGCTCCGAGTGCCCGGATCCGGCCCCGTCCCCCTGGATAGGGGGAATTCCAGCCGCCCGGGTCACGATCCTGCTTTTTCCTGCGACCGCCACTTCTGGGAAATGGGCCGGGCTCCCGCGGGCAGCRGCCGGAGGGGGACGGACCGGGAAATCCCTCCCGCCTCCCCCGGGGCCCCTCGGGAGCAGCGGGGATTTCTGCTGGAACGGAGGGAGTTCCCCCCATCCCGGCCCCGCTCCGTGTCCCGCAGGGTGTCTGTGGGGAGCGGGAATGGCCCTGGAAGCGCCGGTGCTGGCCGTGGAGCACGGAGGCTCCCTGCTCCTGGCGTGCCGGAGCGGCTGCTCCGGGAATGCGGAGCCGACGCCGAGCGCCGCGCGGCCGGACGGCGGCTCCGAGCGGAGCGTCCAGCTCCTCTGCTTCCTAAACTGCGGCGGCGTCTGGAAAAACGTCTCGGCCGAGCTCACCGCTTACCGTAAGCCGAAGCTCCGGGCTCGATCCYGGGGGGACTGGACGTTCCTGGGGGTCCTGGGCACATTCCGGGCATGGGAGATGGGTGCTATCCATGTGTGGGGG